TTGATCAGAGACAGTGCTGATTGGTTGTCGACGTACAGGTTGGTACATTCCGTTCCTTCTATGAGCTTTGTGAGTTTGAGTTCTTCAAATAGAGATTTGATCCATTGCAGTTGTCGACAGGTCTCTATGGCTGCAAGATACTCTGCTTCTGTTGTTGAGAGAACTACTTCTCGCTGCAAATGTGATTTCCAGAAGATGGGTCCAGATGCAAGCCTGATTAATGTCCCGGATGTCGACCGACTGGTCGAGGGATCGGCTGCAAAATCTGCATCTGAGTATGCCTCGAGGATTGGTTTCTCGTTGCTTCTGGTAAATGTGATGCCTTTATCCGGATGTTTGGCTATGTAGCGAAGGATGCGGCGGGCAGCTGAGATGTGCTCTGCGGATGGATTGTTTAAGAATCTTGCAAGGTGATTTACAGCGAAGGAAATGTCAGGACGTGTGTTATTTGCTAGGTATTGGAGACCTCCGATGATCGAATTGTACTCTAGCTGTGATTGCCTTGAACATTGAGAACCGTTGGGTTCAATTAGCCTTTCTATTGGTGTATTTGCTGGCTTACAGTCATCTAATCCATGTCGCTTTAGAAGGGTGCGGACGTATTGGCCCTGAGAAAGTTCGAGTTTATTTTCATTTTCCTTGATGTGTATGCCAAGAAATAAGTTTGTGTTGACGCGTTTGAGGTTATATTTTTTGTTTAATGCTCGCATTAATAATTCTATTTTTGTATTGTTTGGTCCTATGACTTGAAAGTCATCTACATGTAGGAGTACAAATAGATCATTTTGCGCATTTGAATATAAGCACACATCTGATGTTGTTGGATGAAGGCCAAGTGTTGCTAGGGTTGCTCTTGCGTCATCGTACCAGAGGGCTGCTGCTTGTTTGAGGCCGTAAAGGCCTTTCCTTAGGCGGATGACATGATTTCCCTCTTTAAATCCTTTTGGTAACTCCATGTATAGATCAATTTTGAGGTCTGGATTGAGGAAGGCTGTTGGAACATCACCTTGACATCTGTACCATTTAAGGTAATGGGCTATTACTAACATAATCCTACCCGTTTCAGGCCTCGGGGTAGGGGCGAAGGTTTCCTGATAGTCGATGCCGGGTCTTTGAGTAAATCCTTTTGCGGTGCATCGTGCCTTCCATTTATCAACACTTCCATCCGCATTGTACTTCTTTTTGAAGACCCATTTGCATTTCATTGGCTTTCGACCTTTTGGTAATTCTTCGCGTTTAATTATGTCGAATGTTCCTGTGTCAATGAGTGATTTTATTTCCTCATTTGCAGCCTTTTTCCATTTTTGAGCCTCTGGGCTGGACATCGCTTCTTCCCAGGTCTTTGGGTCACTTGATTCAAGTGCTGACTTTCCATGATGGAGGCGATAATAGTCAACTCGTTTTACTGCTCGTCCACGTTTTGTACGCATCATGTCTCCCTCTGGCGAGCAGGCTCTCTTTTGGCCAGCTAGGGATTTGACTGGATCCCAACCAGTCATGATGGAATCATTTGGTTGTAGTTCTGATTCGGAACTTTGTGCGTTATCTGTTTGGTTGCGAGAGATATTTGATATGTCAACTTTTCCAATATCTGCCCCATTGTTTACATTGATTATTTCTGAGCTACCTTTCTGTTGTATTAACCCAGTCTCCGGTGAATGTGGCCTTTTGTGCCCAGCTATTGATGGTATTGGGTCCCAACCTGTCATAATACGATCGTATTTCTGGGCTTCTTGATTTTCTGGTGATTTTATGTTTGGATATTGTTCCGAATCACTTTCAGGAGAGTTGAGCTCGATTGGATCGCTTATGTCAGGGTTTGAGTTTATATCTGACTCCGATGGGTCCGGTTGCGGATTGATTAATGCCAAGGGATTGGGACTCATATGCTGCCAGGTTGATTGAGGCACCGGAGGGGTTTTTGGAGGCTGATCAACGTAAGTTTTGTCATTCTTTTCAAGAGAAGGTAGCGTCATAAATGTATTGTTAGGTGGCGGAGGTTTATTTGCAGGTATTTGGTCGTTATTTAGCTCAGATTGAGGTATGTTTCCTGGGTATTGACTCAGATCTGGCGGTGATGCGTTTAATGGCAGATTGTTAGGATCTGATGTTGACGCATCTTGGTTGGGCAGTTTGTTGTGCGGCAATGAAGGACTTTGGTCTGTGCCTAATGTGGGTGTGATTGGTTGATCGTTGTTCCAGTAGTTTGTGGCTCTTTCCTTATTTATTTGGTCTAGTTCATCTCCCAATAGAACATCTTCATTAAATGTTGCGTGTGGAGTGAAACTGACAATCCACTTCCATCCTTTGGTTGGAGTTTTGTGTGGATGGAGTATAAGGAAGTTCTTGGAAGTGTTTACTTCGAAGCCTAGGAACCACCCTTTTTCTGCCCTTGGTTCAAATTTGCTTGGTTTAGGACTGATTAATTTGTATGCTCGACAGCCGAATTGTGGTAGATTCCTGAGATCAATTTTATCCATGTGCGGTTGTCGTAGGCTTTGTAAGAAGTCGATGATGGGGATCTTTTTTGTTCGTAAGCAGTATAACCTATTGAGAATGAAGCATGCATGTTGCATCGCGTAGGACCAGTAACATGGAGGCATATTTGCATCTATAAGGATGGACCTCGTTACTCTGAGAACTACTTTGTTGGCAGCTTCTGATGCTCCATTCTGTTCTGGTGTGTAGGGAGCTGAAGTATGGGTACGTATTCCATGTTGTTCACAAAAGACTTTTGTCTTAGAGAATTCGGATCCTCCGTCTCTAAAGATAGTTCGCACTCGTTTGTCATAAATATGGTGCATGATTTTAACCCATTGCACTAATGATGAGGCGATTTGGTCTTTTGTTTGGCTGGTGAGTACCCAATGCATGCGAGTTTTCGCGTCAGTGATTATTACGGCGTACTGCTTTTCATCGACAGATGGGACTAGTTTACCTACGGTGTCCACAAATACTTCGTCCAATGGCTCATACGGTGTTGGCCTTGGGTCCCGCGACACATGTCGTTGAGCCTTGCTTAGATGGCATGTTTCGCATATTTTAAGATCACTTGTGTCAATGCCTTCAAGTCCTAAAGAGTGATCTTTTGTCTTCTTGAGAATGTTTTGTGCAATGTGTCCTAGTCTTTGATGCCAGCGTTGCGCATTGCTGGTCTTCTGAATCCTCGCTACCCCAGGTGCTGCGATGGATTTATCTTTGATGCGCTTGTCATGTAACAGTGGATGAATGTAGTAGACGTCGTTGTGGAGAATTAGTCGGGCAATGGGCACGTCACTCTGTTCATGATTATGTTTTACTAGGAGCATTTTGGCAAAGTCAGGGAACACCCCTGCTATTCTTTGTAGTCTACCTGCGGAGACAATACCAGAGGCCGATCTGGGTGAGTATAGGCAGTCATTTAAAATCAATTGTTGTTGCCCGATCTTTATAGTTGCGCTTCCTTGTTCAGTTAGCGATGATCTGCCTACGGCTTGGTCAAATCGAAAGGGATTTTGTCGATTGTATATTTCAGCAAACACGGATCTATCAGGCAAAAAGTGGTGCGAAGCACCCGTGTCATAGATTATAGGGAGTTTATTGTATCTGGATGCTGATGCAGCTATTCCGCTTGATATTTTTTTGTCGCGGGGCTCGCTGAGCAGCGCTTCCATTTGACTCCTATAATACTCCTCATCTTCACTGTCGCTGGCCTCAGCGATTGCCTTCCCTTTTCCCGATCTTTCACCATATTTTTGGATATTCTCCTTCCATTTCTGCCCTTTCTGACCAGTTGCAAGTTCTGGATGTTGCTTGAAGCATTTTTTGTTAGTATGTATATGCTTACATCTCTTGCACCTGGCGTCGGGATTTGGTGATGATTTTGATTTGGCTGCGGAAGCGCTGTGGATGGGTTCATAGGTGTTGATTTGCCTATGATTGTTTGCAGCGACAGTGCGAAGTGATGACATCATTGACCTTAGGGATGTCGGTCTGTCTGAAGCATCGATGGCTTTGTTGTCTCTCCAGGAGCTTAACCAGGGGACGTGAATAGTCCCGACTAAAAAGAATCCCGCAGCTGCGGCCTCAGAAATGGCCCATTCGGTTGGTTTGTCATCGGACATACTAAGGGCTTCAGCTGCGGTGATTATATTCTGGTAAGCAGTCTGGAATTCGTTGCAGTACCGCTCTATTGAGTCGGTGAACTTGACTGCTTGGAATTGTCGGAGCGCATCGATGTAGGTCGCCGAGGACGTTTCTCTTCTAGGCGAAGAGACGCTGTCGTACAGGGCTTTGGCGGAAAGTCTTATGTGGTCCCTGGGCCAGACTTTCTCGCTGAGACGTTCGAGGATTATATTCCTCGCCTCTGTCTCATGGTTCTTCCATGTCAAGACTGCTCTTCGGTGAGTCCTCCATATCTCCTCCCAGGCATCATTTGTTATTTGGTCTTCACGTTTTGGTTCGCTTGGTCGAAAGATGGGATCGACGTCGGGATCATTGTGGATGACGTGGCCGGTGAGGTCGCTTTTGGCCAATCGTGCCCGAAGTGATGCGTCCCATCGGCTGAAAGAATCTGTTTCGCCGAGGATAATGAGTGAAGTGTTTTTGGACATGTTTAACTCTTGTGCAGAGGAAAACGCCGGGCTCATAACCTGTTGTGAATGATGAGCACTGGAGATATTCTTGGGATAGACTTAGAGACAGTTGTGATATAATGCTAGAGAACTGAGTTGTAGACTTTAGAAGGGATTATTATTTGCTAAAGTATAATGGATAAAGTGTGTGATCTGTGTTGGACACTTTTGGGGGCAGTGCCTGACCACCTGTCTAAATACATGAGAAGCTGGTCCGTGCACTGCTATCACTTCTCAACATCCTGATCCTCAACAGATCTCTACAACCACTACGTAGCTTACCTCAATTGTGTAGGCATAGCGACTATATTAATCCATGACCTAGACCATGCACGTCTCTACGTTATGTTATCACGGACTAGGATTACAACATTAGCATATCAGTCTTTAAGACAATTCTGAAAGTGACAGGTTTTCGCATGGAGTAAGGTCTCTGGCAGTGTGCCAATAAACCCCATGAAAATTACATTCTTGATCAAGAATAATGGCACCATTGTTCGCCAATCTTTCCTCTTTCACAATCGAGTTAACACGAATTATTACCAAGATAGAGCAGATTCTTACCAAGGCTGTAATTATCATTTTCTGGAAGTTTCAAATCCATTTTCCAGACTCTATAATTTCCTATGGAGGGTATTACTCCCATCGACGTAAGATAAATATTCCACGTAGTCGTTCTGGAGTTTTTTGGCGGATTTATTAACGCGCAAGCTACCTGCATGTGACTATTGACAGATTCGCGTGAATACACAAATTTACCGCATCCATACTGGCTCACACCACTGAAAAGCCACTCTCCTATGGAATTTCTTGTACTTTCCGCGGCCCGGGGACGTTCCGGCTTTTTTTCCCAGAGGTCCAGACATTTTTCCCACTGGTTGCCCACTTTGTTGACCATGCCGACTAGCTGCTGCCGAGAATTCATTACTATAAGTTGGGGATTTGAAGGCATTTCTATTTGTCAGTTAGGCACTTATTTGCTTGAATTGGGGAAATTGATGAGTTTACGTCTGATCTCTTCAGGAATTTTGGCAACTTGGCTAGGTAGCAACAGAACACTTTCTCCATATAGCCTGTCGATATCTTCGAGACCATAGTAACCAATTTGATGGCCGTCATATTGCCATAATTGGTAGTTACCAAGGGTACCTTTCAGGATAATTTCTATATCTAAATGGCCAAATATTTTGTTTCCACATCTGTAACCGCGGAACTGGGGTAGATTTCTAGAGGCATGGCTGTCAGAAGCATCATCTCTACTAGGTTGTTCTACAGGCCTGTAGCAGCGTCTATCTGGATAGTTTTTGGATTTCATGACGATTCCGAAAAGATTGCAGCTTGAGTCTATGATCAACCGAAGTTCTTCAGAAGGTGCTAGATATTCTTCAGTACGTCATTCATAGCTACCAGAGCCCCGAAGTAGAGGATGCAGGGATGATGTGTGTCTACCTCTGGAATGTGGTCCGTTTTGAAGTATAATAGGCCAGGCGAAGAGAGCAGCATCGGAAACAAAGAAAGTAGATGAGCCATCGTAAACAAACGGGGTTATTTTCGACTTAGTGAATCCCTTTATACTAGCACAGGCAATGTTTACTGTCCTTGATACGGCGTGTTTGAGTATAATACGTTTACCACAAATGAAATCCTCACTGGTAAAAGTTGCCCCAGTCGTGTAGACCAGGATGTTCGTCAGCAAGCCGTATAATATTGAAGGCCTCTTCATGTTCTTTGAGATGCACAGGCTGGGAGGTTAATTTGAAGATCATTTCATAAACCCTTACATCTTAAAGAAAGTCTAAGGCGGCTAATCAGTCCTAATCAAGGCAAAGAATACGTTCGAAGATTAACGCCACCTTTCACAATGGCTGAATGGGCGGCTAGATGATTGCTGCCAAGTCATCTGCCGACCAAGGCTTATATGTAAGATTGCAAAGCTATTTAATTAGCTACGAACTAGGTCTCTTGAGATTCTTATCCATGTTGGGTACACTGGTATTACTGCTCCTTGGAGATCGTAAGAAGGATAACCATTGGTCAATGCTGTACCCGAGGCGCTTGGAATAAGTGTATTTCTTAGAATCATGACTCAGTCACAAATAAAAATTGTGTTAGTTTGAAGTGATGCTGTGCGAACCTCAGAGGTTCGTACTCGTTTATTTGCTCCAAGTTAAATCAGCAAAGGTTTAATAGCAGCTGGGAGATTCCTTAATTCATCAGTGCTCGTTGTGAGTAACTAAACATGGTGAAAGGATTCAATGCCGGTCATTTGACCGAAGCACAGGATCATTGCTATCTTTTAAATTATTTTGAGGCGGAGCAGTGGATTAAATGCAATTAGTTTCGCAGCCGGTTTATTGCAGTACCACCATAGCTTGATTGACTATGGAGTGGGATTACGAACGATCGCGTTCATATGCAGAGAAATTTAGCATTCTGATAGTCGATAATCTAGCAACACACTAACACATCACGCAATTTTAATTGCGAACTCGCCATGCGCTGTAAATATGATCCGTCCATAAGGCGTTCACTTTTTACAGGCTTAAGGTAACGACAGTCCTTAAAATTTGTTGAAAGTCATGCGATAAATCTGTAATTGTATCACGTGTCTCGCTTAGTATTCCACACTTTCCGTAATTGTGAAGTGTGTAGATAATTGTAAGAATAAGTAAACAAGCACCAATAGTTGTAGTTATAATACACACAATAAATTATATATACATTTATATCACAAGGAATCTGATTTCGAGAGCAAGTATCCATACGCAGCTGAATATATAGCTGGTATGCAGTATACTCTTAACTCCACTGTCGCATAAATTACAACAAAATTAATACTTGTGATGTGGATGACTCATTGCTCTGAGGTGCGTTACGTGAACATTTATGTCTAATCTGAGTCAACAAAGGTCGGTATATGTAGGCTCATTCTACTTACAGGCCTAGGACCTGTGGGTGGCATGGTACTTTTTCCTCTACCTCCGACAAAGCTCCCTTTCCGCAGTATTCCTCTCCATTAATCACCTGTTGATTCACTACTCTGTTGGCACTAATAGGTAATTGAGACTATTATCGCTCAGGACTCACGATATCAGACTCACGGGGTGATCAATATCGAAGTCTAAAATAAGTAGAAGGTTGTCTAGCCTTTCCTCTGTCGACTACTACGTTTTACATACATTCTATGCTATTGCTCTGAGTGGCGATTCGGTCTTACCTAACTAGTGGTAAGACGACGCTCGTACCTCGCCCCCAGTTCCTTGTTGTCTGCGCTCTGGGATCCTCAACTCAATGGCAGCTCATGCCCTTCACCTTGTCTCTGTGTCCTAAAAAATGCGGGCAATTTGCCGGGTACGGCAGCTACGGAAAACCGATAATACCACTGGGCGCGGCGTTCTCAAACACCGACACCAGGACTAAACTCGAGACATGGCTATCCCTTTTATGCATTCTGGGAGTGCGTCCAGCCGTGTGTTGCTGAAATATGAAGCTGAAGAAGTACTCTTTACCTTCCAAACATCTTTTGAATCTCTTCCGTCCTTTGCTTCCTGAGATACATAGAATCATGTTGAATCGGCAGATAGTTTTGATGTTTTTAATTTGAAATTGCTAGCCCTCGGTTTTATCAGCTGCTCTGGCCAGTTTTGGGGTAAACCTTGACTTGGTAGACTCTACAGTAAAATGTGTAGGCTTATTGGGGACGCTGAGGGTCAGTTTTGAAGCCTTGTTTTCTAATTCTTTCCCCTTTTAATTATATGAGGTTTCCAAGTTACAGATTGTTTAATGCTCTTGGTCTAGTTTTTTATTATTTTTATTTAGAGATATTTCAATTTTATTTCATTGGCTCGATTTCGCGCCTGGTATACCCATGCCGTTGTCCTTCATAGTCAAAGACTGTGTGGGGACAACAAATAAATTATATTGAATTCCACCCATGCCGCTGTTGACTATCTCTACTAATTATACCGAAATATTTCTGTCATAATGTGTAATCTATGAGGATTACGTCTGGTTAGAGCTTGTAAAAAGATTAACGTGCCAGACAATTGGCACCCTCCGTAATCCTATGGAAGCCTGGGAGGACGAAGGCTGAACTCCTGTCACTGGTGTCCTCTTCGAGCCTGAGGGTAAAATATTCCCCCAGAGCCGAGATTTAGTCACGACAAAGGGTGGATTTGAGACTTTTCGTCGCGTTGGCGATCGGGAGGAGTGGTGTTGGCTCATTTTTGGTCGAAAATCCGACTTGCAGAGATTTCACGACTGCACAACTCAACGAAATCAACAATCTACACCCCAGATACGAGCTGCAGACAGCCTGTAACCTGTCAGATGTTCGTATTACAACAACCGACACCTTCAAGATCTTATTTCTTTTCCCTGGTAAAGTACTCCCAACTAAACTCATCTCGCGGCCCTCTCCACAATCATCTCATCACCTACCGAAGCAATCCCATACCTTCAAAAGTCAAATCGTCGACAATAAAGCAAGAGGATGTCCGACCCTTCGCAACTATTAGTGACTGTGAAGGTGCGGTCGAAATAGCGGCCTTAAATGCGTCCTCGCCTCGGCCAAGGGCACCAACAACTCGACCTACGACGAATCGCCACCGACAAAATACGCACGACATTTCGCCAGCATACCAACCAGAGCGTTCGATAAAAGCTGGGGCACCGGTGCCTCGGTTTCGAGCTCTCAGTCACATTTTCGACCTCAACGGTTAGGGGTACGGCAGCTACGGGGCAAGGCCAGAGGAGTGGACACTCTACAAAGTTTCTTGGACAACGAGATCGGCTGGAGGATAGAGGGATGTTACATGAAGGAACAATAGGGAATACGAACTGAGGAGGCCTTGGTGGGCGACTGGATGTGGCCTCCAGTGAAGAAAACGACCCCTGGATGAGACGAGGAGATGCTGAGATGCGCCTAAGCTGGAGATGAATGGAAGGGAGAAGTTGCAGACGGCGAAGGTGTCAAGGGATCTGGCGCGTGGTAGCCGAGGCTGAGGATGAATTTGTACTTCGCCGCATCAAAAGAGGGTTCTCTGGACGGTTGGGATTGACATGATTCAAAATATGGGTGAAGTCTGAGGTGGTCCGGTCACTCAGATTGGACGAGGTAGATTTACCTAATGGTAGTTGAGCTGATCCATCCCAGCCCCACCTGTGCTTAAGAACCAATAGGTGTGCAACGGTAGTTACTTTACCTAGCACATTAATGAACAAAACCTAACAAAACAAAAACCGCCATTTCTGACCTAATAGAACACTATTACATTTCCCGCGGCGCTGGTGTTTAAGAAAAATGCTAGCATGATTTTTTTTCTCTTTTTTTTGCATGATAGCAAGCTTGCCTATCCAATGGTTCTACATCTTCCTTAGGAGGGTACTCACGCAGGATAGCCGACTGCTTAGTGTACGCAAACGCGCCTCATAGTGGGATTTGCGATAAATACCAAACTTTTGGGTATCTAATGTCATACATTCAACCAATAAGTATAAGTAGCATCGGTAATATCAAGTAGCTAGAAAGGTGGATAGACATTGATCGTTTGAAAAAAATCACATTTGCGCAGTGGAAGGCCTCAAGTATCCAAAACAGTAAGCCTTGGCGTCTAATTTCTCGCTCGGTATTTACGCGAGAGAGACTTAAAATGATAGACCAAACGGAGAACAAATAGCTACCTATATATACAACTTCTGAAGTCCGAAAAATTTATTCTGGCCTTGAAATATATCTCGTATCTACAGATATTTTGACGACGCATCACTTGGAGGCAAAAGATGAATATGGTTTCGCATTCCTTGTTCAAAACGAGTTTTATTTATTCACGAAGCCCCCATACTGTCATCAAGTATCTCGAAGTATCTTCAGCCTGTACGCCTGAAAAAAACGATATCATGTCCGTTCACTGCTTCCATATTGCGATCTCATGCTCCAAACGTTGTGCTGATGGCAAATTTTGGAGTGCGTCACTTTATTCTGTAGATTCATAGCCTTCCGCATATGATTCGACCATATCTAATCAAAGGTTCCTAGGTACCTTAATATTGCTTATACAGATAGATTTAGTGACCATGCCTCCTTCATTCTAGCTGAATATTTGAACTCTTGTCCAATGGAGCATATGAAATTTAATGCTTGTATTACACAACTGACTAGCCCGGCTAGAAAGTGCTTATTTTTTCCCCTGCATGTAGTTTATTCTCGAGTCTTTCGCTTGCGCTGGCTCGATGAATTTGATATTAGTGCGGGAGAAAGGAGTGGAAATGTTTTGTCAAATAAGCACACGAGCCTGATCTCATCCTTTTTCCAAGTCGATATCGGAGTTAGCAGATCACTCTGAGTTTGATTGGAATCGTGAGCTGTGGTTTCTTTGTTGCTTATGTGATGGGTAACGATTACGCCACGAACTTCATTCTGATTGTTTACTATGACTTCGTAGGGGACTAGTTGTGCTTTGGGCAATATTAATTCAATCTTCTTTAGTCACAGATTCAGAGGGCTTACTGATTTTCCTAATTGTTATCCGTTTTCGCAAAATGCTTCTCAACCATGGACCATCGGCTAGACTAGATGTGTTCTTGACCTCAAAACGACCTTTCAAGAATTTCGATAAATGACTATTTGTGCCCAATTGAATTTCTTCAATTTTCCAAGATAACGATCCGCAATGAACGAGAGAGTCAGCCGGGACTTTTTCCACCTCAGAGCTTGTACTTGTTGAAACATCGGGTACTTTTTTACACGGCTCATATTGATATGTTGAACCGTTGTAGTAAAGCACATCTTTGAGTTCACATCTATTATCAAAAGAAATTTTTTCAATAAATCTTCTTTTACTACCTAGGACCAGACTTAGTGAATTAGAGAAATTGAGAAGATGTAAGTCAGTTGAAGAAAAAAATTTGAATAGTCACCTTCAGAATCTCTAGATTTAGATACAGGTATAGACCATTCGTATATATAATCTTCGAAATTATTGTTATGAATGTAAACGCGAGGACGCCTGGCAGTTTCGTAGATTGATATGAGCCCATGACAAGCTGCTTCACGAGTCTCTTCAATTACCCTGAATGAATATATTTTTTTTTTACAATGATATCCAGGCTCCATGAATTCTTCCGCACTTAGTGGTATCAGTGACGCATTGGCTGAAATTAGAAACGTAAAAATTATGGCTTTCAGAAAGTGAGACTGGCATTTTAAGATGCGGTGTAGACTTTTCATGTTTAAAATTTGTTAAGTTGTTAAGTTGGTAATTCGAATTGATATGAAAGTGTTTGTTGGATGACTGTCTACGACGAGTCCGATGAGCAAGTTATTTACGTATACAGTACTATCAGTGAGATCTCCGGACTGGACTTATGTTTCTATTATTTGACAAGATATCGTTAGGATTTCTAGTTCCCGACCAGACTAAGGGTTTTGGCTCCGAGAGATTCTCAAATTTGACATTGAGCCTGTCATGTTTAATGAGATTCGTAGGCCAAGCTCTGGGCGGGCTCGTGTTGCGCCAGTGGCCTTGATGCGGGAAGCCTGAAGCACTATTAATTGTGATATGTTGTAGAATTGTGCTAACATCTGGTGATATAAGATTATTTGTTATTTGTATCGTGTAAACTCAAGGGTGGCATTTAAATTGACGCAGATGTCACCTTTTAACATAAAATAGCTGGGTTAGGAAGCAGCAGAAGCAAAGACTCATGTAGACGAGGAGGCATGAAGAAGCTTCAAGGAAAGTCATGATCCATCAGGAATTTGTTAGTTGATCATGGGGCAAAGTATAAAGTTCATCAGAATGATCCGATAATTTATACGATTGAGACCGCCATATTTCATGAGAGCCATGAACTAGGATTGGGTCTATCCCAAATTTTTATTATATATTAATTAACATGTATTCAACTTTTTGGCCACGACACATGAGCGGTGATGTGTATACATATTGGCTGAGTCATTTGAAGTTCGAGACACTAATACTGGATTTCATTTGCAAATAATGTTGTAATATCGCCAGTCAATGAGTGGTTTGGTGCCAACAATGGATACAACTAATGTCGCTCCAGAACCTGGGATTCATGAGCGCCGGGTTGAGTCATGGCAGGACAGTGAGTGGGGAAGCGTCTTGATAAATCTAAGGACCACACGCGCTAGCCATAAGTGGTTAGACGTCAATGGATAATGACGGGTTAGCTCTGCGAAGCATATGCAGACCACGTGCGCTATCAGAAAAATACAACTACCTCCGCTCCTGAGTAGTGGATTAGGAAGGGCGGAGTCGAGACATTACATGGCAATGATAGAGGCGGTGCCGTGTTGTTATTACGAGCCGCCGGCCCAAGCCACGCACAGGATTGCTGTTGTTCCTGAACAGCTGGGCCGGGGATCGCTTAGCTGGGATATTACATGTAAGTGAATTAGGCATTGCGATGACGTGTCTTTGGACCACGCGCGCCGGCCATTACAACAGTAGGAACCTCTCACGAGAGATGGACTCATGAGCTGTAGAGTCTTACCTAGACACGCCGTTGGAAGTAAGTCGGGAGATAGAACGTAGATTATGACATGGTTCATATTGGAGTATATAACTTTTCTTTGGGAGAGCAAGATTGAACACCTGCACGTGCTGCCTTCTACGAACTTGGGAGTGAAATACTCTAATAGAGCCAAGTTCTGTCAAATTTAGTAATACCACTAAAGATGGCCCACGGGGCAATGATTCAAAATACTCCACCATGTTAAAGTTTTACTCCCGACGTGATCGACTCATACCTAAGTCCCATCAATTTACTGGTAAAGCCCAGTACAACCCAGTAAATTCTCATTCCAACGACCACACACTTCATAGAATTTCTTTGGCCTCAGCTCGTCGCCAAATACAAGCCCACGCCGATATTTACATCCACATGAAGAAGCAAAGCGTGGTCCACAAATCTGGGGCAGAGTTCTCTGGCTCGGATATGAGAGGAATCAATACACGTTTACAAAATTGTGAAGAGGAAGGATAAAACCTCGAACGGCATGGAATGCCGAAGATTGGCAAGGAGTTATTATCGAATGACCTAATGATTTAATTACCCTTCACGTATAATCTTCGATATGATGGCTAATGAAGTTGATGAGTAATGAGTTACCTGTTTAGGAATGGCTTCAGCAGAGAGCGACAACTGCTGTATATACGTGTTATTTTTAGTCATATTTGTACAATTCACAGCAAAATTATGCGAAAGTCACGATATCGTGTTATTTTTATTTTTATTTTTATTTTTATTTTTATTTTTATTTTTATTTTTATTTTTATTTTTATTTTTATTTTTATTTTTATTTTTATTTTTATTTTTATTTTTATTTTTATTTTTATTTTTATTTTTATTTTTATTTTTATTTTTATTTTATTTTTATTTTTATTTTTATTTTTATTTTATTTTTATTTTTATTTTATTTTTATTTTTATTTTTATTTTATTTTTATTTTTATTTTTATTTTTATTTTTATTTTTATTTTTATTTTATTTTTATTTTATTTTATTTTATTTTTATTTTTATTTTTATTTTTATTTTTATTTTTATTTTTATTTTTATTTTTATTTTTATTTTTATTTTATTTTTATTTTATTTTAATTTTAATTTTAATTTTAATTTTTATTTTTATTTTATTTTAATTTTAATTTTAATTTTAATTTTAATTTTAATTTTTATTTTTATTTTTATTTTTATTTTTATTTTTATTTTTATTTTTATTTTTATTTTTATTTTTATTTTTATTTTTATTTTTATTTTTATTTTTATTTTTATTTTTATTTTTATTTTTATTTTTATTTTTATTTTAATTTTAATTTTAATTTTAATTTTTATTTTTATTTTTATTTTTATTTTTATTTTTATTTTTATTTTTATTTTTATTTTTATTTTTATTTTTATTTTTATTTTTATTTTTATTTTTATTTTTATTTTTATTTTTATTTTTATTTTTATTTTTATTTTTATATTATTTTTTCTGCATCAGGTTTTAATTACGCATGCAGCTATCTGCGTATGACACAATATCAAAGAAGAGTACAGAAAAGATTAAGCAATTTACACGAGGAGCACTCATGTCTCAGATTCCATTTGCAAGTACCACTGCGAAGTTATGGTGGCTTATTCTTCACCCCAAGTTAACTCTCATCCTTGAATACCCAGCCAGGGGAACGTCTCAAAAACCCTGAGTTACCCAGACATGCCTCCGTCATCCATCAAATTTCCTCCGCGCGAAATATAATCTGAGATGTCTCCTTCCCAAGTGAAGTAGGTGCGAAGGCTACTCAAACCAAAACAGAGAATATCACTAGGAGGTGGATCACAACACCTTCCATCTTTTGCTTGTGTTCATAGTGGCAGCTGAGGGATAATGAAGGGCAAAGGGCTCCTCTAAGTGTATGATCGAATGAGGACTTATGAGGGGTGGTACTATTTGAGGAGAGCTGTATAGGAGGCATAGGAGGGGACATACTACTGGTATAGGTATCCTTGGCCTGTAGGCAGAGAGGACCTGCATGTCCTACATAGTTATAGACTCAGACAGGACAATAAAATAAAATAATAATAATAATAATAATAATAATAATAATAATAATAATAATAATAATAATAATAATAATAATAATAATAATAATAATAATAATAATAATAATAATAATAATAATAATAATAATAATAGAAAAAACATCATTTTTGCCAGAAAGCTGCGCAGCCTTCCACGCTGCCCGTATCATCAATTTGACATCGTGATTCTTATTTTTATATCTTTATTACCCTCCTCTCATCTTTTCGCTTTCCGTGCTCCAACATGGCGAGTGTGGGTGCTGGTGTGGGTAATTCCAGCGGTTTCGACGCGTCGCAAAATGCGACAATGGCACAATCAAACAACGGCAGCGGAGCGCAAACAGCTCCAAAGGATAAGAACCTTGAGATTTTAGGGAAACTATTGAAAATGGTTAGACTCACCGTGATGGGAGAGGTGGATGAGGAGGACTTACCCTCAATGGAGGACGTGAACGAGGCCGTCAAGGCCTTCAACGCGCACAAAAGGGCCTGGACGGAAATGTCCCAGAAAAAGTCTCCTATCGAGGAGAGGATGATGGCGCTCGAGGAGGTTGTCAAAAAGAGCCTCGCGGATCCTGCTCGAAAAGCTGCACCAGCAGTGGTTTCGGGCGCGCCGACACAAAGGAGTTACGCGTCGGTCGTGGCTCCGCAAATGACGAAAACAGCGGTTAGGATAAGAATCGATGGCGCACAAAACCTGCAGCCACAAGAACTGCTGTCAAAGGCACAACAACACATCGAAGGCGCATTTGCAATTCGACAGATGCGTAGCAACGACACCGAGGTGTTCGTCCAGTCGGCGTCCCAGAGAGACGCGGCGCTTAATATGCGACAACCAACGGATTTTAAAATTTTGCGGCAAGACTTTCCTGTTGAGGTTTCCGGAGTCCCACTGCGGACAAGAATTGAGGGTGGCAGAGATGCCAACAACTACGCCATCATCAGGGAGATTGAGACGGCGACCAAGGCACGTATTCCAGGCCTGGTTATTAGCAGAATACGATGGCTACATGATGGAAAGGAACATCAGCGATCAAAGAAAAACGGTCGCAATCGTGGTTCAATTGTGGTAAGCCTCCCATCGGAGGCAATGCAGACGGAAGTAGTTCGACAGGGCCTTGTCATTAACGCCATGCTCTTCACCGCGCAGGTATGGTCGCCACGGGCTCAGCCAAAGCAGTGTTACAACTGCAGCCAATGGGGACACACGCAGGCGTCGTGTGGAAAGGCAGCTAGGTGCGGTGAGTGCGCTGGCACTCACCAAACTCGGGACTGTCCGAGGAAAAGAGTTTCTTGTGCCAACTGCGGCAAGGAACATCGTTCGTGGCAGAAAGCAGCGTGTCGGACCTACCAGGTCTACAAGGGTAGTGTGGAGAAAGCTCGGATTGAGCTGTTGTCAAGAACGGCGGAAATATGGAACGGAAAACCTACGGTGGCGCCAATGCGAACAGTCGGAACGACTGATGATCAGGGATTTACTTTGGTCACCAGTAAAAAGGCTGAAGTACTCAAAAGAGGGCCAGGACGACCGCGTAAGGTAGTCGAAGCACCAGTGGCACCAACAATCCCCGCCACAACAGCACCATCATCGGGGCCAACTCTTCGAACACTTCGAAGACCAACGCCGAGTGAGGAGGTGCCTTC